GGCCTCTGTGGATTTATTTCATCTTGTTTCTACTGATTGAATGGAACATTGTACAGAGACTTAATAAAACTGATCCTGGCACATTACCGCCTGTGGTACAGACTTCAAATACCAAAAAGCATGAGAGAGGACTTGGAGTAATAAATGAAGAGTTGGAGACCTTTTTCATCTAAAGGCTACTAGTTAAGAAATGTTACCAGCAGAGTCTGTTGAAGTGACAATGCAAGAGAAATGTTTGAAGACACTGTTGGATGCCTTTTTAGAAAGAGCAGTGAGGAATTGATAGGTGGGCTGTCTATATAAAAAAGTGCAAGTTTCATTAGACGTTTTCCTGTTCCTAGTTATCCTAGTTATGTATAACAGCACTCTTCAAGACAGTATGATTTATTTAACACTCTTGTTATGCAGCTTTTCCGTGACACACAACTCATAGTAAAACACAAAACAGTGGACACCTTAAACAAATGGTAAGAAACTTAGCCAATGAAGTGATCTAAGTGACTTCAGAACTGGACCACCAAAGGTATTTATATTGAAATTAGAAGTTGAGATGAGAACATAAGAACACAGAGACAGGAGGAGGCTAATTAGCCCCTCAAACTTGTTTGCTCATGGGACTCCAATCCCAATTAGGTCATAACTGAATCTACCTTCATTCCATCGATCTGCCTTTGATTCATCCCTTGATAATCTCACCTCATAAAAATCTAGTCATCACAGACTGGACAATTTCAATTGATCCACCATTCACAGCCTCTTTGAAGACAGAATTCAGTATTTGCTCCACTTGTTGTGTGAAAAAGTGCTTCCTGTTTTCACTCCTGATTGCCTTGCTCCAATTTTACAATTGTGTTTCCTTGTTCTGTGATCCTGAGTGGAGTAAGTAGTTTCTCCATAATCATTGAATCTCTCATTGAATCATTTGTTTAGATCACCCACCAAGTTTCTAAACTGAAGGCAGTACAAAACAATATTATGCAAATTGTCCTCATAACCAAACCCCTTTAAATTGGATTTGTATCACAACACTGATCCTTCAGTACTCCCAAAATGTCCTCCATTTGTTAGACTGATTCTGTGTCCTTGGACCTTTCTTAGATTCATAGTCATATGGCACAGAAACAGTCCCTTCAGCCCACCATGTCTATGCTAATCAACAAACACCAAACTACACTTATCCCATTTCCCTACACTTGGTTCATATCCTTGGTTGACATTCCAGATTTCCATTGCCTTCTAGGTAAAAGTTAATTTTCTCATATCTTCTCTAAATCACTTACTCCTCACCTTAAACTTATGCCCTCTAGTCTTAGACACATCCACCATGGGGATGGGGAAGAGATTCTCACAATCTACTCTATCTATATGCTTCTCATAATTTTGTATACCTCAATCAGATTCCCCACTCAGCCTCCTCTGCTCCAAGGAAAACAAACACAGTCTATCCAGTATCTCCTCATTACTGAGACTTTCTATCCCAGGCAACATCCTGGTGAATCTGCTCTGCACAGAAGTGAAATTATGTGAAATTACATCCTTCTTTCCTGTTTTTAAATCCTGTGATATTTCTCATCCTTGGACCATATTTCCAATTGCCTCTAAGTTCAGACCCTAAGACTTCCCTCTGATGAAAAGATGATCAACCTATAGAGCAAATTCTGTTTCTATCTCCAAAAAACCTTCCTGACTGGCTGAGCATTTCCAGAATTTTCTCTCTCTAATTCCTCAGGCCTTCCTCCCCAGCCTCCAGGCTGTACAACATCTCTGCCTGTGATAACTTATCTAGTCAATTTAGATGAGGTCTGAGGTCCAACTTCCCTTTAGATCCACGCAGGCACCTTATTCCAATTACAAGCAGTTCACTGTCAAGATGTCCAGTTTAATTTTTATCCCAAGTTAATTTCATTTTCTAAGCACCAACAAAGATATCAACATAACAAAAGGACACACGGTGCATTTTGTCTTTGGACAGTTCAGACCACAAACATAGTGGTATATTAAAATCAAATGAAAATCATAATTTGCCTGGTATTAAAAGCTTTGCAAATCAATTTTCCAGTTTATTTGAGAAAAGAAGACAAACAAATTCCCAATTCTTCACAAATTGAAGGTTTAAGCCCTCATAATACTGGCCAGCAAATTGTACTTTGAGAGATCCTTCTGAAGTGTAAGTGTTCAAAATATACAGTTTTGTCTCCAAATTCTAGAATCCCAAACCAGCCGAAATAGTTTATCTTTATCTATCTTGTCTTTTCCTGTTAATAACTTGAAGACTTCAATCAGATCACCCCTTAGCATTCAAAATTCTACAGAAAAGAGGTCTAATTTGTACAGTCTCTCTTCATAACTTAAACCCTGAAGTCCGGGTATCATTTTTCTATGCTGACTTCCTTCAAGGCAAATATATCTTTCCTGAGGTGCAGTGTCCAGATCGGATCACAGTACTCTATGGGCTCTAACAAAGTTTTTTGAAGCTGGAGCATAACTTCTGCATCCTTATACCAGTGTTCTAACTATAAAAACCATCTTGAATTGATTGAGTCCTGCTGACAAACGTGGCAGACTTCTTCTGTTTGTGTCTGTGCTAAATGCCAAGGCAAGACAGATGTAATGTAACTATGGCTGAGGGAGCAAAATGCAAAAGGGCAAGGCAATTCAAAGCAAAGATTCTATAACCATCAGGAAGGCTCACACAGACTATATACTAATGGTAGTGAGCAAACAGTTTGGCGCTGCAGTCTGGTCTAGTCCATCAGCTGGATGCTTGACACTAGGAAAAAGTGCCCTCCCTGCAGCATGACAATGATAGTTGCTGGTGCAGCCGTAGCGGCAGCATTGAATGCGGAAACATCCTGTACGTGGATTGGAAATATGCCATAGATGTTGGCACATTTTGGATGCCAATATCTGTAGATGTGATGTGACTGTGGCCAGTGCCCATGGACCATGCCTTGAGATGTTGATGTGCAGTGTCCAACAAAGAGGTCCTTTGGAACAACTGGCAAGCTGAATTCGCCAGGTAACTACTCTGGTTTTCTCAACGTTTCCTCAACATCTCGCTTGTTTGGCAAGTATGATAATATAGAAAGCTGAATATCAATGTCACCATCCCTGAGCCTGACACCACAAATCCTGCATACGCTTAATGCTGCCTATTCATTTCGCTCAGGACACCTCCCTACCTGCACCAAAAGCCAACAAGGCATTTAACAAGCAACAATCCCCTGTAATTGACAATTCCTCATTGCCTAGCAAGAAACTCATCATGGAATGGGTGAGTGAATAGCTTAGCGAGTGCCTGAATGAATAGATGGGTGAGTGTGTTGTGTTGATTGGAGATTGCATGAGGGGGTTAGGAGTGAGTAAGTTGATGGTGAATGGGTTGCTGAGAGTGAGGTAGCATTTGGATCGGTTGGTGAGGTCAGTTTGCCCTGATCACCTTCCGTTGCTATTTTTACATGGTTATGTTCAAAACCATGCCATGCTCGCTATTTGAGTTTTCTTAAGTTTATTTGCAAATTGGTAAATGCAGAACATGCAGAGACCTGGGCTGTATTTTAACAAGTGATAACAAGGTGTAGAGCTGGATGAACACAGCAGGCCAAGCAGCATCAGAGGAGCAGGAAAGCTGATGTTTCGGGCCTAGACCCTTCTTGAAAAGTGTGCTTTAAATATGTTAAAGCAGTACTAGTGCACCATGATGACTATAGCTGAAAATGGATTATTGTAATAATCAGCTCTTCAAATGACAGCTCAAATTCACAACCCGTGTATAAGCTGATTTCAAAGGACTGAAAGTGATTTAAATCATGGATAGAGCCTATTTGCATTGGGGTTGGTTAGCTCAATTGGCTAGAGGGCTCTTTAATGACGTGCAGGTTCAATTCCTGTATCAGCTGAGATTACCATAGAGTTCCTCCTTCTCAACCTCTCCCCTGGCCTGAGGCATGATGATCTGCAGGGTAAACAACAACAAATTGTCTCCCTCTAATGAGTGAGCAGCCCTCTGGAGAGTATGGGGCTAGTACAGCAGTCATCAGTTTTTCACTAACTTAAGGAAAAATGTAAACATTTGGGAAATCTACATATAAGCACCAGAATAACTTTATGCAGAAAATGTCCTTGGGTCGGACGCAGTTTGTGGGTCACCCATCAGTCTAGAATGTTGTTTCTTTAAAAATCCACCAAAGTTCGAGTTGCGTCGAATGTAATTTATGTTTACAATAATTTTCATTAATGCCAATGTACATGGGATGGAGAGGCAATGCAGCCAAATGTATACTCAAAGCTGGTAGATTTAACAATGGATCTAGTGATCGTGCACTTGAAGGGATGATGAACCAGAGCAAAGTTGCAGCCCTGTATCCACCCCAAGCTCACCATTATTGCAGTTTCTTTGCTGCAAGATCAGGACCAACTCGACTCTGATTTAATCCATTTTCCTCCCAGACTGTGTAATTTATTTGTATGAGGTTACATGTATTCACTAAGCGAACAAAGTAGATTCAAAACTCATAACAGTCAACTTGAAAACAAACTCAGTTTTGACTTTGAATAAATCTGTCATGTCTAATCTGGAAAGCAACAATGAATGACCCAGTAAATTTGATGCTGAGAAAGGGAATATTTAATTAATTAAAGCATTTGGTTCTCATTTTCATTTTTGCTTGGTTCCCTAACCCATTTTAAAACCTCATTTATCATTCATCACAGCCTACACAATAATGAAAAAAGAAATTCCTCAACACTTTGGTATTACATCTTAATTTGTAATTACTGTATTAACCATGTTACTTTATATTTGGCTGTTGATTAAAAGGACATCTGATAGGGTGCTAAATCCTCATTAACGCTGTAGATGAATGAGTCAGTGAATTACTGGTTATTTTCATTCACGTTACTACATCCAAATGACATTATCATCCACCACCTTCAAGTGACTAAAGGATTTTTTCTGGATTGAATGGAACATTATTAGGATTTTATGTTCTGTTTTACAGGTTAACCATTTCTGCCGAGTGTCCTATGCAACTTGAAGATTTTCCAATGGATGTTCATGCCTGCCCCCTTAAATTTGGAAGCTGTAAGTGCGTTTGAAATTGTTGTTGAAAACACAACAGAATAAAATCGGCGAGCATCAGGAGCAGATTGTTAACTGCTTTGTGCCATGGTTGTAAAGATCAGGGGGTGGACAGTTTCATGACCGAAATTAGAGTGAGGTGGGCCTCCTGCGCGAAGTTCTTCGAACTCAATTTAGGTCTCTTGAAAGATATGGCCGCTGAGATAGTTGATGTGTCAGTTTTCATTTTCCAAACCTCCATTGATTTGGGGCAGGTTCCATTCGATTGGAGGATAGCAAATGTAAAGAAAGGGAGAAAGAAAGGAGGAAACTACAGGCCACTTAACTTAATATTCATCATTGGGAAAATGTTAGAAGCTATTATTCAAGAAGCTATTGTAATTGGATAAGGTCAAGGTATTCAAGCAAAGCCGACAAGGTTTTGTGAAAGGGCAATCAGGTTTAAACATTTTTTATAGGAAGACAGTAGTGTAGTGATAAGGTCACTGGACCTGTAATCCAGAACTCCAATCTAATGAGTTTGGAGATGTGTGTTTGAATCCTACCATGGCAAATGGTTAAATTTGAATTCAATAAAAATCTGGAATAAAAAGCTGACCGAATGGTAGCCATGTAGCTATTTTCAATTGCTGTAAAAAACTATCTGGTTCACTAATGTCCTTAAGGGAAGGAAATCTGGTTTGGCCTACATGTGACTCCAGATCCATAATCATTATGGTCAACTCTTAACTGCCCTCAAAGCACTAAGGGTATTAAATCCCTGCTGAGCCCATGATGCCCAAATCCCATGAATGAATAATAAAAGAAAGTCCACTGGAGTTCTTTGAGGATAAAGGGAACTCAGTAGATTCACTATATCAAATGCTTTGAAATCAAAGTGCCATATTCAAATGTTATTGTGAAAAATAAAACTCACAGGGGTGGCATGGATCAAAGTTGGCTGGCTAGCGGGAAGCAGAGAGTAGACATAAATGGATCTTTTTCAGTTAGGCAGGATGAATAACTGGTATGATATAACAATTGGTACTGGGACCTCAAATGTTTTACAATTTATAGAAATGGATTGGATGAAGGGACAGAAGTTATGGTTACCAAATGTGCTGAAGACACAAAGATAGGTCTGGAAATAAGTTGTGAAGAGGAAATAAGGATGCTGCAAAGGGCCATGGATAGTTTGGGCGAGTTGAAAAAGTTCTATCAATGGGAATATAATATTGGAAGATGTGAAGTTGTCTTTTTGGCAGACAAAAACAAAGTGCAATATCTAAATGGTCAGGGACTGCAGAACTCTGAAATGCAGAGGGTTCTGGGTGTTCTAGTGCTTAAATCACAAAAGGTTAGTACACAGGTACAGCAAGTAATTAGGTAAGCTAATAGAATACTATCATTCATTGTGTGAATACAAAAGCAAGGAGGTTATGCTTCAGTTACGCAGAGTACTAGTGAGACCCACCACTGAAGTACTATGTACTGTAATAGTTATCTTGTCTGAGGAAGGGTGTAAATGTTTTGGTTACAGTTCAGAGGAGGTTTACCAGACTAATTCCTTGAATGGGTGGGTTATCTCATGAGGAAAGGTTGGACGAGCTAAGCTTATATGTATTGGAGTACAGAAGAGTGAGAGACGATACGATTGAAACATATAAGACCCTGAGGTCTTGTCAGAGTCATGAATAAAAGACGATATCTCTTGTGGGAGAATCAAGAACTAGAGATCACTGTTTCAAAATTTCAGGTTGCTTATTTAAAATAGATAAGGCAAAAAAAATCTGTGAGGGTTGAAAGTTTTTGGAACTCCTTTTCAGATAAGATTATTGAGGCAGTATCCTTGAATAAATTTAAAGCAGGGGTGGAGAGATTCATGATAGGCAAGGGGTTGAAAGGTAGGTGATGCAAGAATATGGATTTAAGGTTACAATCAGATCAGCCACAATCTCATTGAATGATGCAACAGGCTCGAGAGGCTGAATGGCCTACTCCTGCTCGTTGTTTGCATTTTCACTTATCACCACCCAGGACTACTCATCTAAAGGATGGATAACAGCGTCATTTTTCAATGGACGTTGTATTGGTGAACGTCGACCACATACACTTCAATTGGAATCTTCTCGGACAGCAAAGGGAAGGCAGAAATTTGCTATTGGAATAAAGAATTAGCCTTGATCATTCTGAATGGCCTATTCCTGCTCTATGTTTCTGTTGAGAAATCTTGCAGAGCATTGGGTAAACTAAGACATAAATCAATGAACAATGAACCTGCAATAGAAATCCATCTTGAAAGGTGATGCAAAATGGTTCGTTTCAAATCAATTTGCATTTCCAAACAACATACCCAGTATTTACTTTCAGTGGTTACAATAGAAATGGAATATCAGGACCAGACACCTGATCCGATATTGTATTGATTTGTGCTTGCTCCTGAAACAAATTTCTTTTCTTTTGTTTTTAAAGTAACTGTTTATAATGTCCCAAAGTGCCATGAATCAAACAAATTACTTTTTAAAGTCCTTTTGTAGCATAGAAGGGGGCTATTTTGTCCATCGAGTCAGAGAACAACAACTGTGAGCAAAGGTACGCTGAAGATTTCACAAAGAAATTTATTTTGAACCTTCAGGATCTTCAGGATTTTCCCTATCTACCTCACAGCCAATAGGTGATTTTTGACGTACAGTTCAGTGATGATATATATTTAACCACAACCACAGATGTATGTCCAGTAAAGTCCCACAAACAGCAAAAAGATAATTGACTGCTGAATCAGTCCTGCTTTTGTTGTTTGAGGAACAAATTTCAGTCAAAACTTCAACACTATCCGACCCTTTTTTTGGTTTTTAATCCCTGGGCCCAGAAAGAATGGGGCTTAATAAACCTCTCTTCAAGGGCTTCACGCACTCTCTGCACAATCTGGATTTCTGCTGTATCCCTGACAGATTCCACTCTGGTAAAATCCATGGGCTCAATTTGATTTTGTAATGATAAGAAATCTACACAATGTTCAGAAGATTGAATTTTAATCTGTAGATTATGAGAAAAGTGAAGGTGCAGTAAGTAAGGAGATGGGGCTACTTTTACATATTTTTATTTGCTCAGGGGATGTAGCACACTGGCCAGTATATATTGCCCGGCCCTAACTGTGCTGGAGAAGGTGGTGGTGAGCTGCATTCTTGAACTGTTGCAGTCTTTGGTGTGTAGGGACACCCACAGTGCTGTGACGAAGGGAGTTCTGGAGTTTTAGTCCAGCAATAATGAAGGAATGGTGACATATTTCCAGACAGCATGGTGTGTGGCTCGGAGGGGAACTTGCAAGAGATGGCACTCTCACGTATCTGCTGCCATCTAAGTGGCAAAGAACACAAGAACATCTGAAAAGGATGAGTGAGAAAGCACAATGAGCCTTCATTTCCCCACAATGATGGTATGGCGCTATGGGGTAAAAGTGTCAGTACAAGATTATACTAAAGGGATGTGAAGAAACATTTCAGATCAATAAGTTAAAGGACTGCAGAAGGATAAGGAAAAGCTGCAATATATAAATAAACGTTTGTGCAGAGTGACTACATTTTGCAAATTCATCATAACATAATGGGAAGTTGAAAACAAGACTGGGAATTTGATGGAGATAGATCTCCTTTCTGACTTTAACATTCGTAATTGTTTGTATAAAATTGACACAATAAATATTTCAAGCCAGGGGCCTATAAATAATCTTTCATTTAATTAATAATTAAAACCAGTTGAATTAATTGCATATGCTTAAAAAAAAGTGAAATAAACTAGGTCACTTAATTATATAAAATGCTAATTAAATATTAAGAACAAAGTGAGATGATTAGATAGGGAGAGTGCTATGTCTGTAACAAGGGAGAATGGTATGATTGAGGCAGCCACACGTGGCAATAAAGAGGCCAATACTACACTCACTTGAATTGAGGAGGAGATTTAGTGCAACTCAGTGATTGAGAAAGAGGGTCCGTGGACAGGGGTTGTCGGCAGCAAGGGCAGGGCTTTCAGCAAGTACATCAAACCTCCCCCATCTCCTCTCCCCTGCTCCTGTCACTCCATGATTCCAGTTTCCCCTCAACACCCCAATTCCAAGTTCTTCAATCAGATACAAAGTCTCTGTCCCCAGGTGGCCATAAGCAAACATACCAGGCTTTGCTTTTGTGCTCCCTGCAAGAGCAATGCACCCCACCGTCTTCAACACCCTCCCCCCACCATGCGCAGTACTGCCAGTGGGTTAATTCCAGCGGACGTGGGATGAGGCCTGTCAGAGGGCATCAGTTGCCCATTCATGGACCACAAGTGGCAGAAGTGCAGGAAGTCTAACCTGTATCTTTGTACATGGAGTTAGTTATGGTGGAGGCAGGAAGGTGGTAGAATCCACAACTTCCACCCTTCTACACAGTAAATGTAACTTCAGAGCAATGGAGAGGCCACAGGATTCCACCCAATGCAGTTCATTAATGTGGGAGAAAGTTATGTGGAATTTTTAAAATTTTGAGGAAACCCCTTAGGTTAAGTAATGATTCAGATTCGGTCAGATTATGTGACTGCAAAGCTGTCAGGTAAGAGGACTGCATATGCCATAGTGCAGGAGCCTCGACAAGGAGCCAGCAGGCAAATAGTGTGCAGTAAGGATGGTCAAATATAGATGGCACAGTGGCTCAGCAGTTAACGCCGCTGCCTCACAGCGCCTGGAACCGGGTTTGAATCCAACCACACTCTCTCTGTGGAGTTTCCACACATTCTCCCAGTGTCTGCGTGGGTTTCCTCCCACAGTCCAAAGATGTGCAGGTTGGGTGGATTGGCCATACTCAATTATCATAGTGTCCAAGATTGTGTAGCCTGAGTGGATTGGTATAGGAAATGCAGGGTTATAAGGATAAGGTGGGAGGGGAGGTGAATTGGGCTTGGGTGGAATGCCCTTTGGAGGGTTGGTATGACTCGAAGGGTTGAATGGCCTGCTTGCACACTGTAGGGATTCTATGAAATAGACCTCTGTC